CCGTCACCGTGCACTTCCTCGGCTGCTGCCAACTTCTCCAGCTTCTGGAAGTAATTCTGAGGCAGGGAGAGGAAATGTTGAGAGGCTTCTCCCAAAAAACCATCGGCCATCTGCCTCTCCTCAGCTCCATCATCTTCTCAACAACATCTTTTAAGCCACAGTTGAGTCCATCCTCCTCTCCCCCCCGTCAGGATGTCAGAGACTGAGGCTACTCCTCAGCTCTCTCTAAGGACAATGACAAATCCACTCTCCTTGTGAGGTTCCCAGCACATTCCACTTAGCCCGCCTTGCTCCATTGGCACTGTGCTGGGGTCTCCCCACCCCACCCACCCTGTTTTGCAATGACAGAGGTTTGCTGACTCACATCCTGCGCCAGTTCCTCTTCTCTACTGGGACCAGCTCACCCACAGATCCCAAAAAAACTCTGCCAGCTCAGGAGAGAAGCCATAGCTCTCCCACCCCATTCAGTCTCCCAATGTCCATCCCAGGCATTTCTCTCTCTCCCAGACATTTCTCTCTCTCAAATAGTCCACCTTGCTCCATCTGCTCCAAGTCTGGCTTTTCCCAGCACTGTCTGACATTCCCTATTCCTGAACTGGAAAAAAGCAGGAGCAATCCCTCCCTGCCCACCTTCTCCACTGCACTGCTTGGATTCCCACAGGGTTCATCGCCACCATTCCCAGTCAGACTAAAGTCAACCTTTCCCTGACAAGGATCTCTCTTGAGTTTTCCATTTACCATCTCCCTTGTCTCATTCCGGGGGTTTTATCCTGGCTCTGTCACGCTTCTGATGGAGATGAGCTGCTCTCCTGTTATCCCAGACCTATAAAACCAGTCTATCCCAACACCTCCTCACTCCTGGAAATCTTGCCCAAGAAGGAGTCAGCTCTTCCCAGTGACGCTGATCCCACCCTGTCCCACTGCCTTCCTCTTCCAGGGAGGAAAACAACGCATTGCAGTTCTCCCTGAACTGACATCCCCTTCCCACCTGATATCCAATGAACAGGGGGAAGATGCTGCTCCTGAGTACCTGATAATAATAATCATCCAGGTAGGGATCAGTGCTCTGCAGCTGCATCATCTGGATCTTGGACACCCAGTCCTTTTCCCGCTGCAGCATGAGGTTGGCGTAGGGATCCTTACGGATCTGCTCCTGATGGCTGCTCCGGTGGCCCCCTCGGTCCCCCCCGGAGCCGTTGAGGCTCCGGTGCTGGCTGGCAGGAGAAGAAGGGCACCCGTGAGCACACCGGAGCTACAGGAAGGGACAGAGAGGGGGGACAGGTGACCCCGGAAGCAGGACACGTCCCCGTGCCGCGCGGCCCCGTCCCCGTCCCCGCACTCACTTCCGGTTCTGCTGCCGCTGGTGCAGGAGCCGGCGGTGCTGGGGGTGCAAATGGGTCGTGTCCGGCCGGAACATCTGGGGCTGCGGCCTGGGGAGAGCGGGAACGGTCAGGGAGGGATGCAGGGAGCGGCTGGGATGCCGGGACAGGGACAGCACCGACCTCAGGTTCTGCAGGTGGGATCCGGGGCCCGGAGGGTGCGGCAGCTGCGACGGGGGCGGGGCGGGGGGAGCCCCGAAAAAGGCACGGAACCCTCCGGCCGGGGACATCATCTGCCCAACTCTGCCCTGGAGCAGCTTGGGATTCACGGAGGGCAGTGGGCTCCCCACCAGCCCGGACACCCGGGCGAACTGGCTGGGGGACATTCGGCCAGCCTGGAGGGGCAGAGAGGACACCTGGAGTCAGCTAGGCGCGAAAAGGGTCTGGGATGGCCAACAAGAGCCATGGAGTGCCAGGTCCTGGAGCCATGCAGAGAGAAAGGTGGGATAAAGCACGGGAAGCTTTACCTGGGCTCCTCCGAGCAGCTGGGCTCTCTGCAGGTGTGTGAGAACAGGAGACACGCTGTGGGGAAACGGGTGGCCCAGGAGGGAGGAATTCTGGGGAAAGAGTTGGGAAAAGGGACCCCAGTCACAGACCATGGCTGGCAAACAGGACAAACCCCAGGAAAGCCAAGCTCCCTGGGGTGGGGATGAGGCACAGGAACACAGGGAAGTTTTGTGAGGGCTCGGCATCAATTCCAAAAAAGATGGAGGAGGGAAAGCTGGATACCGGAACATTGCAGAGTTGGTTGGGGGACATCCTCTCTCCATAGGGAGCAGGATAACGCTGCTGCATGGTAGCTCGGATGTGGACAGGCTTGGGACACAGGATCTGGGAGGAGGCAAGTGGCACAGTCACTCCCCCTGGGAAGCAGCCTGCACCCTTGGGAGCAGTAGGAAGTTGGGAAGCGAGGAAACGGATACCTGCTGGTTGAAGTTTGGGATGGCGGCCTGTTTGGGGGGGGTGCCGATGGGAATGGCCCGGACCGGTGGGCTCCCGATGATGGGGGAGGAGGAGCGCCGGGGCAGCGCCCGCTCCGATGGATCCCGCTCCTCATCCCGAGCCTGCGGCGGCCTCTGGGGCAGGGCATAATCCAGCACGGACACCGACGGCATCTCCTGCAGGAGAACGGGCGGGACACCCCCTGGAGTCACGGGCTGGCATACGGAGGAGGATCAGCGTCCCCTCTTCCTCCTGCCAGCTCTCCATGTCCCACTGTGCTTCCCTGGGATCTCCGTGCGACGCTGGGCATTCCCAGAGCACACGTGACTGCCAAGAGCACTCTGTTTGGGATAACAGGGCGTGGGGCGAGAAGCCTGGGTCACCTCCCAGCCCGGCAGAGCCAGGAAAGGGTTGGGAGAGGGTTGGACACGCAGCACTTCAAAGCCTGACTCTTAATGAAACCACAACACAAAAATCCTCTGCCTCCAGGCATGAACATTCCCAAATCCTGCTGAGAGCCCTGAAATCCCTCAGACATCACCAGGCATCAAAGAACAGCAAAGCCCATCATCCCAGCCCTCCAGGGTCCAAGGGTGGACAGAAGGTGACAGCTATGAGGGTCCCCCACAAGGCACGGATGCAGCAGAGGGAAACAGGACACTCCAATATCCCAGGAGTAGTCTATCCCACCCAGCTGGCTGCCACAGGCATTTGGGATCAGCAGGGAAGAGCCCCCTGCCCCCAGCACCCTACCTGAGTGAGGAGCGGCCCCCGGATGCGCCGCAGCATGGCGGAACTGTCCCAGATGCTGGAATTCAGCCTTCCAGGCTGCTGCAGAGCACAGGGAGAGTCAGGACGGCGCTGTGGGGTCCACCCCCACATCCCCCTGGCTCCCCCAGCCCGCTCCCACCTGCGGGGGATCCCTGGTGTGCACGGCCTGCATGATGGCCGGGTCCTCCAGCTCGCTGTCGATGACGAGGCGGGTGAGCCGCTCGGCCAGTGCGTCCTCGGGATCGCCCAGCACGTCCCCGTCGTTCCCAACGGGACCATCCGGCTCCCGGCTCGAGCCAGCCTTGTCCTCCAGCTCCGCCAGCCGCTCGTGGGCCTCCTGCCAGTCATCGTCTGCGAGGGGGCACAGGGTGAGGGACACGGGCCGGGGGCATCTGTGGGGTCAGGGAGGGCTGGGGGCGACACCTCGGGTCTCACCGACAGCCCCGGCCCCGAAGGTGTCATCGTTGAACTGGTCGATGTCTTCATCCTCCTCCCCCAGGGCCTGGAAGGCGTCTTCATCCTCGTCCAGCGGGCAGTCCTCCAGGGACTGGGACGGCCGGGAACGGAGTCAGCCTCACTTCACCTCCGTGATGACCCCGCAGCCCATCATACCTACACAACACACCCCCCCAGCCAGCGATACCCCCCCAGCCCATTACCCACCCCTGGCGATGCCCCCAGCCATTACTGCCATGCAGGGACTCCCCCAAGCCGTCACATCTCCCCTGCAGTGACCCCTGCAGACCCACAGCGTGACCCCTCCCGTTATGGCTCCCCCAGCCCCTTGCAGGTGCCCAGTGCCCCCAGACTCCTCCTGCCAGCCCGGAGCCCCCCTCACACCCCCTCCCAGCCCGTCAGCGGCCGCCCTCCCCAACTCATTTCACTTCCCCCGCCCCAGCCCGTTACACCCCCCCCGCCCCGTTACACCGCCCCGGTGCCGTGCCGCACGGCTCTCCCGCAGCCCCGCGGAGCCCCGCGGGGCCCCGCCCGCCCCGCCGGCCCCTCCCCGCTCACCGGGTACCGGAACATGGCGGCGCCGGCGCCCCCCGCCCGCAGGCTCCGCGCCGCCCCGCCAGGCCCCGCGCCCCGCCGCGCATGCGCCGCCGCGGGCGCAGCCGCATGACGTCATCCCCGCCACCGCCCCGCGACCCACCCGTCGGCTAGGGGCGGGGCCAACACAGACCACGCCCACTATAGACCACGCCCCCTCTCTATATTTCTTAAAGGAGTAGCGTCCCTTTTTCTCCCGGTGACACCCGTGCGTCCCCTCCCGCAGCCGTGACCCCCGGTGTCACCCCGGCCATAGCCAATGCCACCCCATCCCCAGCCCCAGCACTGCCCGCCCAGCCCTGTCCCCAGCCCTGTCCCACCCGCGGTCATGCCCACACCCGCGTCCCCCGTCCCCAGCCGTGTCTCCCCCTGTCCCCAGTCAGGACCCTCAGTGTGTCCCCTAACTGCAGACATGTCCTCAAGCTGTCCCCTATGCCTGCTCATGTCCCGTCTCCAGCCGCGTCCCCCAGCCGCGTCCTGAGATCACAGCTGTGTCCCCAGATGTGTCCCCTATCCACAGACTTGTCCCCCCGCCCCCAGCCACGTCCCCAGCTGTGACCCACATCCACGCCCCCCGTGTCCCCAGCTGCGTCCCCCCGGCCGTGTTCCCCGTCCCCAGCCGTGCTCCCTGTCCCCAGCCGCGCTCCCGCTGCAGTCACACGTGGCAGGGGGTGACACGTCCTCACCGTGTGACCCCCGAGGGGGATCAGCTTCCTCATGGCCTCCAAACCCACATCCTCCCCCACCCCTGTCACCTCCCGGGGTGCCCGGGGCCACCCGCAGCTGCCGGCTCCGGCGGGTCCGGTGTCCCCGCGCGTCCCAGGTGAAGGGGCGGCTCCACCGCGTCCCTCCCCTCGGCGCCTTCCCCGCGCCCGTCACTGGGGATTAGCGCAGGGACAGCCCCGGCCTCGGCGACAGGCACGGGGGACAGGGCCACCCGCCACCTCGCCTGGATGTAGGAGGCCCGGCCGAGCGGCGAGGACCGAGGGTGACATCGCCCATCCCTGCGCTGGGCGAGGACGGGGACCCCCCCGCGCCCCCCCAGCCTTTGGGGGCACCATGAAGGACCGGCTGGAGCAGCTCAAGGCGGTGAGGGACCCCCGGCGTGGGGAGGGGACGGGGGACACCCCCAGGGGGACCCTCGGGAAAAGGGTGACACCGGGATGGGGGTCCCCGAGACCCCACCCCATGGTGGCCGGGGACATCACGGGGAGAGGGGACCCCAAAAACCGAGCCTGGGGTGGATGGGGACGTCACGGGGTTGATGTCACTGAAACGCCACCCCACGGTGCGTGGGGGTGTCACGGGGATGGGGGGACTCAGACCCCATCCCACAGTGGGCTGGGGTCTCGGGGACACCCCAGTCCATGGAGGGCGAGGACGCCACGGGATGGACGGTGCCGAGACCCACCCTGCTGGGCGTGGGGTGTCACGGGGGTCACCCCACGGCAGGTGGGGGACCCTGAGCTCCGTACAACGGGGGTGACAGATGGGAGGAACCGGGGGGAGGTCATCCCCGTGCAGTTTGGGGGCACGCTGGGTGTTTTGGGGTGACGTGACACCCCCCCAGCCGAGTCCAATCCCTTCACGCCGTGGGGTGTGATGGGGGGACAGCAGCCCCCCGGCCCGTGGGGGGTGTCCATCCCGCGGGGGAGGCGGTGGATTTGGGGTGTCCACACCCCATTCTGCACCCCACACTTCCCCGTGTTCCCGCCACCAGCGCCGCTTCCTTCTCCCTTTTCCCGCTCTGTGTGGGGCCCCGCTTCCCCCCGCTCTTGGGGGGCTCCCCCTGCTCCCCGGGGACTGTGGGGGTCCCAGCAGGCCCCCAGCTCCCGGCCGGGCCCCTAGGCATGGCAGGGAGGCTTGGCAGGGATTTACCGGGATTATGGAGCCATCAGATAAAGCCCTCGGTGGGGACTGAAGGGATTAATTTTATTTTTACTCCAGCAGCAGGAGGAGGGAGTGGGGGGTCCCAGCCTGGGGTTTGTCCCCATCCCCAGGACACCCCAACAACACCTTGGGGTGATGGTGGAGCTGAGGGGGTGAGGGGAGGCAGAAAGGTTGAGGCTGAGTTTTGGGAAGGGCGGGATTTGGGAGCACAGGGGAGGGGGCCTGGACACGATACCAGGGTGAGGGGCACCAGCCACCTTCGTGCCCCCCAGGGCTGCCCCAGACCTGCCATGGGGCCACGGTTTGGGACATAAACCCTGTCCCGTCCCCATCCCGTCGCTGTCCCCGTTCCCTCCCTCTGGCCAAGCCCAGCAATCCCTTAATTCCAGCCACGTGTGGCCAGATGTGAGCTGGGCTCGGCCCCCCTGCTCTCCCCCGCTGCAGATGTCCCCCCCTGTGCCACCACATCCCCCATGGCTACTCCCCCCGTGTCCCTGTCACCCGTGGGGGGCCCTGGGGGCGCTGGCAGGGCACGGGGTCCCCCCTGAGCGCCGTGTCCCAGCAGAAGCAGGATGCGGACGATGAGGAGGAGCTGGAGATCGCCGTGGACAACACGGCCTTCATGGATGAGTTCTTCTCAGAGGTGAGGGAGGGTTGGGGGTGGGGCTGGGGGGTGTAGGGCTGCCTCTTAACCCCCCAAAATCCTCCCGGGGGTGCCCAGATTGAGGAGACCCGGCAGAACATCGACAAGATCTCAGAGAACGTGGAGGAAGCCAAGAAGCTCTACAGCATCATCCTCTCAGCCCCCATCCCAGAGCAGAGTGAGTGCTGTCACAGTGTCCCCAGGGTCAGTCACAGGGCCCCCCCAGGGACATTCCCAGGGTGGCTCACACCCGTGATCCCACAGAGACCAAAGATGACCTGGAGCAGCTGACAGCAGAGATCAAGAAAATGGCCAACAGCGTCCGTAACAAGTTGAAGAGTGAGTGGCCCTGTCCCCACCTTCGTGTCACGGGTGTCCTGATCCCCGTGGGACTCTGGATCATGGGGGCTGGCAGTGGGAAAGGTTCCTGGTGGGTTGAGGTCTGTCTCTCTCCAGGTATGGAGAGGAACATCGAGCAGGACGAGGCACGATCCTCAGCCGACCTCCGGATACGCAAGTCCCAGGTGAGCTCTGGCCCACAGCCTGCATCTCCAGGTCCCACCCTGTACCCCACGGACTGGGCATGTGGCATGTCCAGGAGCCCCAAGTCTCCCAATTCTATCCCCAACAGCACCCTGTGATCCCAGGCTTTGTGACCCTCTGCTCTGTCCCCAACCCTCTGTCATGTCGCCCTGTGCTGGGACATGCTACATCTGGGGTCCCCTGGCTCTCATGCCACTGTCCCCACTCCCAGCATGTCCATCCTGGGACCAGGAACATGCCATGCCCAGAGTGTCACTGATCTGAATTCCCATCCCCGCCCTCAGCACCTCAGCTTGTCCCCTGGGCAGTGTCACACCTCTCTCCTCGCTCCTGTCCCCTGTGAAAATGCCCCATGGGGATATACCATGCCTGGGGTGTTCCATGTCCCTCAGCGTCACACCGTGCCCTGTGGTGTCCCAATCCCAAAGTTCCTGTCCCCATCCTCACATCCTTGTCCCTGTCCCCAGCACTCGGTCCTGTCCCGCAAGTTCGTGGACGTCATGACCAAGTACAATGAGGCTCAAGTGGATTTCCGGGAGCGCAGCAAGGGCCGGATCCAGCGCCAGCTGGAAATCAGTGCGTGACCCAACCCCAAACCCCACCTCCTCCAAAAAGTGGGAGGAGCCAGCTCACACAGGCCCCTCCCATTTGACCAAGTTTGGTCAAGTGGGAGGAGCCAGGCGGCACAGACCCCGCCCCTTATTCCCGGACTGGGTGGGGCTTGTTCCCACCTCTCCCCACGTGCCTGCAGCTGGCAAGAACACGACGGACGAGGAGCTGGAGGAGATGCTGGAGAGTGGGAACCCTTCCATCTTCACCTCGGGGGTGAGCCCTGACGTGGGGGACACCAGGGGACACGGGGGGTGTGTCACGGGGCCAGTGTGTCACATCATCTCCCCGCTGACGTGTCCCTGTCCCTGCAGATCATGGACTCGCAGATCTCGAAGCAGGCGCTGAGCGAGATCGAGGGGCGGCACAAGGACATCGTGCGCCTGGAGAGCAGCATCAAGGAGCTCCACGACATGTTCGTGGACATCGCCATGCTGGTGGAGAATCAGGTACGGGGACATGCAGGGACCTGGCCGTGGGGACACGGGGACAGCCAGGGACCTGGGTATGGGGTCACAGGGATGAGCAGGGACCTGTGGGCAGTGTGAACGGGGACCTGAGCATGGGGACAAGCAGGAAACTGGCAATGGGGTCACAGGGATGCCCTGTGTATGGGGACATGGACATGAGGGATTTGGGCACAGGGTCACAGGGATGAGCAGGGACCCATGCATAGGGTGACCAGGGACAAGCAGGGACCCGAGTGAGGGGTCACAGGGACCTGCACGGGACCATGGAGTGTCCCAGGGACCTGCACAGGGGGATGGATCCAGGCATGGAGCAATATGGGCTGGGGTGGTGACCACTGCACATGTTCCCATGGAGCCACCCAGCACCCCCATGGTGGCCTGGAGGGGACACAGGAGTGTCCCCCACCCTGCAGTGGTGCCGTCCCCTCTCTCAGCCCCTCTCTGTCCCCCATGCCACACGAGGAGCTGCTGTGTGCCCTGGGGATGGGTGAGTACTGTGTGTGCGGGCGTGCCACATGCCATGGGGCTGTGTCACCGTGTCACCACCAACCCTGCCCCTTCTCCCCCAGGTGGGCTGCTGGATAACGTTGAGCTGAGCACATGGAGCAGAGCATGGAGATGATCTGGTGCCAGGGCCAGGTGGGTGGGTGCCAGCACCCCAGGCTGCTCTCAGTGTCTCCCCCTCTCTCTGTGTCCCCTGGGTGCTCCGTAGGGAGCCATGATCGACCGCATAGAGAACAACATGGACCAGTCTGTGGGATTTGTGGAGCGGGCCGTGGCTGACACCAAAAAGGCTGTGAAGTACCAAAGTGAGGCCAGGAGGGTGAGACAGACCGACGGCCCCATAGCCCCCAGTGTCCCACTGCACCCCTCAATGTCCCCTGTGCAGCCCCCAGCATCCCAGAAGTACCTCAGTGTTGTCCCCTCTGGTCCTCATTGTGCCTTCACAGTGTTCCCAGCACCTCCCCATATCCTCCAGCAGCCCTGAGATCCCCTTATTTCCCTCAGTCACCTCCTGTCCCCCTCCACCACCCCTCATCTCCCCCAGCTGACCCCAACAACTCCCACTGCCCCACAGTGACCCCATGGGAGGGAGGTTGGCAGCTCTGTCCCTCTCTGTCCCACTGCCACCCCTGAGCCCCCTCCCACCCTCAGGTGAGCTGAGCTGGTGAGGACAGCCCCTCCTGCCCCATCCCCAGGGCTCTGCAGCACATCTGGCTCTTCAGGGCCCCTCGGTGTCCCCGTGTCCCCCGTCCCGCCACGGGACAGGTGTCACCACCCCCAACTCACCCCTGTTCCCCCAGAAGCTGCTGACTTTGGTGGCAGTGGCCGTGCTCTTGCTGGGGACAGTTGCCCTCATCATTGGACTCTCAGTGGGGCTGAACATGAAATAGCCCCTGGGGCGGGGGTCTGTAAGTGTTGGGGGGCAGGGGACCCCCACCGCGGGGACACAGCCCTGGGGGATCCTGCTTTGGGGGCTCCAGTGCTTTGGGATTTGGGGCTGTTGGCTCTGTTCTGGGCTTGGCGATCTCGGGTCTGTGGTGCTGGGGGTGTTCTATGAGTGTCTGCAGCACTTGGGGGTCTGCAATGCTTGAGGGTCTCTGGTGCTCTGGGGTCTGTGTTTTTTGGGGGTCTGAAATGCTCAGGCATCTGTGATGTTCAGGAGTCTCTGGTGCTCTGGGGTCTGCGCTGTTTGGGGTCTGCATTTTTGGGGGTTTGCAGTGCTTAAGGGTCTGTGTCGCTCGCGGGTCTGTATTCTCTGGGGGTCTGCGTTGCTCCAGGCTCTGGATTTTGTCTCTTGCCCACATCCATCCCTGCCATCCCGGCTCCCTCCTCCCTGCTGCAGTCCCCGTCCCCTTCCGATGCCTCCAGTTCCCCTTTCCATCCTCCAGACGCTCCCGACCATCCCAGCGATGTCACCTCCCAGCGGGATCCTCCCCGGCACTGATCCTGGACCCCTCCTCTCCCTGCTCCTCCCGGACCTGCTGCTCCCAGCCCTCCGTGTCCCGGTTCCCGCCGCGGTTCCTCCAGCACCGCCGCCTTCCCCGCCCATCCTGCCGGTGCCTGGGATCTGCCCCTCATGTCCCCACAGAAGGGGACAGGATTCCGCCCGTGGGGACGCGGCTACTCGTGCCTCAGCCCCAGCGAGGGGTGACAAGGACACAAATCCGAGGGCCGGACGCTCACCCGCGCGGGCATCCCGGGGGAATGAGAGCGGGAATAGGGGCAGGACGCGGGGTTTGGTGGCACCAGCGTGGTTTGTTGTCACCGTGCTGTGACAGACGGAGCTGTCGTGGTCCCCGTCCCCTCTTGGGTTTGATGTCCGGGCGGGAGGATGTGATGGTCGTGGATGTGTAACTCCCGTTGTAATAAAATCCCGCTGATCCCGCCCTCGCCTCCTCTCCGTGCTGGCACCGGGAACACCCAAAGCTGCCGGCACGGCTCCGGCTCGGCTCCCGGTGCCCGGGCATCTGGGGGCCGGACCGGCCCCGTTTCCCGGTGCTGTAGGACACGAGGAGGAAGCGCGGGGCTGGGGACACCCCCAACTCCCGTGCCCTGTCCAGACTGTCCCCCCCACCAAGTTTTTGGGTAAGTCACGGTGTTTGGTCACCTGTCCCAGGGCATGCTGGCACTGTCACCTCCCTGTGCCACACAGAACCAGCTCACACCTGCCCTGCCACCTTCCCTGCACCTCCACAGCCCCTGTCCTTGTCCCTTGCCCTATCTGTCCATTCTCCCCACTGCCCAGCCCCTATCCTTGTTGTCCCCCATCCCTGTTCCTTGCCCTCCCCTCCCCAGCCACATCCTTATCCCCTGTCCTCATCCTGTCCCTGCTTCACATTCCCTGTCTCCCTGAGCAGAAGAAGATCATGATCATGCTGTGCTGCATCATCCTTGCCATCATCCTGGCATCCAGCATCGGGAGCATCTTCGCCTGAGCCCCCCACCCGCTGCCCTCCAGGTGACAGGGACAGGGCTGGGGGTGGCACAGGGGGTCCCTGGTACATCCCAGTCCCAGGGAGCAGGTTCGGGCTCCCTGATTCACCCCAAGTGTCCCCAGGTGGCCACGCTGGGGAGGGATGGGGATGGCGACAGCATTGGGAGCCATGTCCCCTTCCTGAGTGTCCCCTCATCTTCCTCCCTGTCACAGGTGGCCTTTCCCCCTCCTGAGTGTCCCCTCATCTTCCTCCCTGTCACAGGTGGCCTTTCCCCCTCCTGAACGTCCCCTCATCTTCCTCCCTGTCACAGGTGGCCTTTCCCCCTCCTG